GTTTCTCTAGTGCGGGGCTATGTTGAGTGTGTGCGTTATTATTATTATTAAATGTAGGCCATACAAATATTTTTCCCGGCCCGGGAATCGAACCTGGGATCTCGGCGTGGTGACCGTTCGCCGACTGAGGCAGTTTAGTTTAGACATATAACTATGACTTAACGTAACCAATGCCATTGGTATTATTTGGTATCAAATGATACCACCCCCATTTTGCTACCGGAAACGAAATGTTTTTATAGTTTCGGTAAATTCAGAGCAGGTATAATAATTGCATAACATTTCTGAACATCTTCTATGTGTCTTGTCACGGTATCAGGTGACGTAGGTGATCTTAAGGTGGCAGCTTGGTCGATTAGAAGGTATTTAATAATATTATTTTGGTGTCTATGTAATTTAATGTTGTGTCTATATAATGATAGTCAAGTGCTCAATGTCATACGGGGATATTTACGTAGTAAAAATTGCTTGCCCACTTAACAAATAGGGTGCGGGGTTAACGAATAAAGATACTGTGAGATAGAAAACGTTTTTTTTTGTATTGCGGGTGTATTGCAATATTTTCGGAAACCAATAATATTGTACTCTTTTTGTCTCTGTTAACATATCGAGTTATAGTTAATGTTAACGTTGTAAACGCCCGTTTCTTATTGTCTAGTAACTGTTGTATACTTAAGTGTTAAAATTAATGTAATCGGGTTAATGTTGAGCTTATTAGTTTATACCTTTGGAATCTCTGAAATTTTCGACTGCTCCACTGGTTTAAAAAAAACTCGTGCCAAGATTTGTAGTATTGCCATATGTATGTTTAGTATGTAATCCAGCTTTTTAATCGTCTTAAATGAATATTAAGTAGTATTATTACAAATGTAGTTGAAAACAAGTAGAAAACAGAACTTATAGTACGTATTTGATGTCCAATTAATTTAATCAAATAGCTACTTCAATGAAAAATGTGCATACTAAAATTTTTTTAATTTTGACAACTTTTTGTGACTCAAGCCGCTTGTCCACTCGTGATGTCAGGCGTGAATGAGGTACAAGTAAAGCATTTTTTCTAAAAGTGTAAAAAAAAATTAGAAGTTTTTTGTAAAATACTAACAACGTTGCAGCGCTAGATTACTACGAGTAACATCTAAATAACAAATTTTTGTTCCACGGTTCAAAAACAAACTTAAGTTTTTTTGTTATACTATCTGACACTTTTTAGATATATGTATTTTTAGCAACGCCTTCCGCGTGCTGTCATTCTTAAAAATCATTTTGGTCGCGGGTGCGTTGTTTTGCTACCGTACAGAGTTATCACCATTTGGAGCGATCTATTTAAATATGTATTATTTTTGCACGGAAGTAAAATCTGATGAATTATTAAGAATCGATACTACCTCTGCTCGATTGTAATTGTTTCTCATGCACACTTTCAGAATTTATTTTTTTACAAACTAAATTAAAGCCATTTGAAAAATCTATATCGTATAATATACCTACATGTATTATTTAGTTCAGTTGATATAAAAAAAACATGGATATATTTAAAGTACCTATTGAATATAACGGTTTTTGTCGTAAAATTTCGAAGTAAGTTTGTGTTTTTTTTCTGTCGTGACAATTTTTAGAAATCGTGTTTTCACATCGTAAACTAATCAATGTACATCCTCAATTTTACTATATATTTTTTCCAAAGCGATTCAACAATTTCAGCGTTATGCGGAACCAACCAAAGCCATTTGAGGTAGTATACGCTCTTAAAAGCCCTGAAACAAAAGTTGTTGTTTATGATGATAGTAATATAGTCCTGCAAGGTTAGTAATTTTCAAATAACCCTGTATATTTCGAAGTTACAGGTGGTATGGAGAGAATAATGTAATAATAATAATAAAATTAATAATTTCTGGCAATAGTAGTGAGGTAACTACAAGCCATCGAGTGTATGACCAGAAATAGAGACGAAATGTCATTTGATTTGTTCGAAAATTATTCTGCCAAATCATTACGGTAACAACTGCGCTCCGATTGGTCAGCCCGAATTCGTATTCGTATTATATTTAATTACCGATTAAATGTCATTCCGTTTGTTTTGTAATTAGATGTTTTGCTGTTTTTCCCACACCACCGAATGGAACAGCCCTCATTGTTAGAGATATTATCTTTATTACGATAAATACAGAATATTTTTGGAATATACAGAGACCTACACACAGGTCAGTTGTTGGCACTGTACTATTTCAACTTTCTAATTTGTGATTTCAGCACAAGCGAGAGTTAATATTTAAAAGTGATATAAGGCACATTTGCCGCATGAGTCGCCAGGGATATATGGCCTTATTTTGTCTCTATTTCTGGTAATATACTCGATGCTAAATGCTTATTTCTTTGAAGTAGCTATAAGGTATACGTTTTCATGTATTTAACGTTTAATATTTGTAGATTACTATACTCAGTAGGCACATAAATCTTTAATTACCGGTAAATACATGAGAGGCTAATACTAGCATTGGGGTGACATGTATGAAATTGGGTCCCGTAAAGTGTCCAAAACATGAAACTTTGTAACACTTAATATGTTGGACATGGTAGACAGCACTTGGGTCCATTAGCTTTTTAATTAAAATTTTATATAAAGAAAAGAGAATCCACTAGGACCCGACGGACCTGGGCTTTCTACTCCGAAGTCGGAGTAGAAAGAGAGAAGAACCTGGTATTTTGTAATTTATGGAGCCAGCCATATTTCTGGTGTTTTGGAGTTGAGACTGGGCTAAGCGTCGTCTCGTGTAGCCTTGGAATAAGGGTAATAATTGGAAATTGAAAGTAAAAAATACTTAAGACACCATTTAAAGAAGGACTGTGTAGCGCTAGATGTAAGCATTTATATGTTGACTGAGTACAAGAGATTTTAAGATTAAATGTCTGTGATACACGTATTACTCACTTTCATTTATTGAAATTTGTTTTATTAGAGTGTTGCCATTATGGATTTTGGGATACAAGGCTTTGAATAAAAACTACCACTGGGGGTTTTTTCATACTTCAACATTATTTATCTCAAGTTTTTTTGTATTATTTTATCAATGGTCGATAAAAGATTTTAAATATGCATTTTTTTTACATGGCCATTAGAAGTACTTTATAATCCAACTTCCTCTTCCTAGGTCAGTAGTTTTGTCTTACGATGCAGTAAAACTATTTCCGGAAATCCGAAATTCGAAAAAGTACTTAATTAATATTTGGTGGTTTTAACAACTCTATGTCGCTCCTTGTAACTATACTACCGCTAATTAAAAAGCGGCAGTATAGTATAATTATATAATTGTCAATATATACTAAATATATTTTTTGAGATATAAAAAACCATAACCCAGTTTTTGCATCGTTACGGTAAGTTCCGATAAGTCGCGCACGTTAAAATTAACTATTTTTAAAATATAATTTTGTGCTCTATCTTTTGCTATTTAAAACAGATATTTGACCATTTGTCACTTAACTGCGTTTTAGTTGGTGGACGGCAGTATACTTGTAGTATCTATATGCATATGTGGAACACCTTTTTGCGAAATGCGTAAATCATGTGAAATTTTTCATTAAAGCCACTCTTACTTACTGGAGTAGTTTCAAACAAGTACTGGGGTATTTTGCCCACCTTTTTATACATAAGGGCTCGTGCAGCGTGCCGACGATATTTCGCGACTGCGTGCGACTTATTTTAACATGTACAACTAAATGGCTTAGCGCAATGTCCGCGACCAGCGACCATTGGTCGTGAGACTTGCAGCGATAAATCGCTTGCGACTACTACTAGATGATTAATTAATTAATGTTCCAATTTTTATTAGATTATTATAGAAGTAATTTAAATTATAATAATGGACCCAGATAGGTTAATTGATGAAGTTCGTAATCGCCGCAGAATATTAATTGGATGAATATTAAATCTTATATAATCCTATGGCACGGACCCGTAAAACAGAATTTTTCAACAAGAAAGTTCTGATAATTTAAACCGAGGTTACTTTAATTTAAACGTCTCTAACTTTTTATCCTGTGAATTAAAAAAAAATAAAACTATACCTATATAACTATTTATAAGTTACTATTACTTTTTTTATGAAATTGTCTTTGGTATTATCTCTAATATTCCAACTGAAACACTTGAACGCAAGGTCATGAAATAAATTAAAAAAGAGTACCTGCATAAAAAACCCCCAACCCATTTTACGTAAATTTATTGCCTGCAGTTAAAATTAGACTATAAGTTGTATGTTAATTGCTATTTACCGTTTTTTCAACAAAGATATATTTTTTTATACCTTTTACTAAATAGAGCTAAAAATATTTTATATATTTTTTAAGTTTATTGAATGTCACGATGTTCTACTACCATGATATTCAATTATTTTTTTAAATTGAAATTACTCCACTATTTTGTTATAATTATTAATGCGTAGATCGAAAATACTAAGAAAAATTCCTTCGATTAATGTTTTTAAAGTTTTAACTCTATTTAGTAAAAGGTACTAAAAATAAATTGAGTGACTCACGCAAATCAATCCTTGGTAGGTACTTCTTCCAATCTACTAAACGAACGAAAGAGAGGTTTCATTATCTAATCATAATGAAAAAGTACACACAAAATCACTTTATTGCTCTGCAAAAATTAGCAGAGCAATAAAGTAAGTTAATAAACACTAAGTATTTAACGTAAAGTACATACTATGCAACATATAATTATGATTGTTTATATAATTTAATATATAGTATATGCACTAACAAAAATTCTCTACTACAGATAGATATCGAGATACCGGACCACTGCATAAATGGTTACTACGTGGACAATGTGGACCCTGCCTACCGCATCGTATTGTGGCACTGACTTCGTCATCGTGTTGGATTCCGATATGTGTTCTATTTTTCTTAATCCATTGACAAGTAATAAAATTTAAGATATACGTGTAAGATATGTATTAAATCTGATGAGCAGATTTTGATGGAACTGCTGTATTAAAGACCAACTTCGAAAAGCCGACCAAAAACATATTAATTAGATTAAATTGCAGTAATACCAAATAATTGGGAAAAACACATAGGAGGTATCATTTACTGGGGTTTATTCACAACTTTCTCTTCTCTTGTTATTTTGACAAGCTCATCAAATCAACCTATTTGTGAAAGTAGTGTGTTCAAATTAAACTGTAGATTTTAGAGTTCGCACTAGATATAACTTAATAATCCGCTACACATGCGATCGAGCTTCACTACGAATAATTGAGCTCAAGCCAAATAGTGTAAGCAGCATGCGCGAGGTCCATTTTCCTATCGAAAATCGAAGCATGATCATGTGGACGGGCCATTATTCTAGTTAAAGAACATTGTATATACATAGTGTAACTGTGACTAGATAAAATACCTAGTTCATACATATCCTTTGAAATCCGTCTTTGGCCTTAGTGCAGCGTTAATAGATTTTACAGCAATGAACACTTTGCTCGAGTAAGTTGAGCCATATTTGCTAATGCGGCATCGGCTTGACTCTGTTAGAAAGAGCTGTTTATCCGTGCAATAAAAGCGAAAAAGGCATTGCGCGTTTCCGTTCCGTTTGGAATACCGACGTGAAAATCAACGTCTTTTTCGCTTCTATTGCATGTACTTAAAACTTTTTTAACCGGTCTGTTGCGATTCCCTGTCAATGTTGCCAAGTTATTTTCAAAAATGTCATTGATTCGCGTCACAACAATTATTGCCATATGAAAAATTAAATACTGCCCAAATAAATAAGTTATTACTAACTGTTGCCCAGTGTTTATATAACTGCCCTAATAAAAGTTCTAAGTTGGTAACACACAGTGTTATCCGCGCGAACCGCATGCTGCCTACGGTGGTCTTAGGAAAATATGAGAGATGTTTTAAGCCCCAAAGTTTTGTAAGGACATACGAGTATCTAACCTCTTTCGTGTAATAGCGGTTACACATGGCGACTTTCGAGCAGCGATGGAGTAGAGATGCAGTCGCTAATCGTCTGCCTTTACATACGTGCGAGATTTTAAGCATCGTCTGATCGTAAGATCGTCTGCATCGATACAAACGCGCGATTGCATCGATGCAATCGCCTGTAATGCCGGGTGCACGAGACTTTCACTTGCGTTTTGCGCTTGCTTGCGTTGGCTGAGTACACGGCGTAGAAATCTTCCACCCGCGCAAAGGCGTTCACGAATCTTTGCGTTGCGGAGAGACTTGCGCGCATGCGTGGCGCCTTGCATTTGGATTGTTAACACTTTCGAACCGGCTGCTTGTCTGTGATTGGCCAGTGATGCTGTCCTCCGCAAACGTTCATTATTGCTTGTGAAAACTTTTCTTGTTAAATAAAACTGCAGACACACACTAAAACAATATATTCTTCCCGAAAAACCAATACCTTCCGTCGTCCGCGGCCATTACCGCCACAAACTACTGACAGTTCTCGTGTGTTGTAGCAATTACCAACTTATTTTATTAATAATTAGAATGAATGTTATTATAATCAAATTCCTTACATGTAAATTAATGAAACATTAAAATAACTTCATTCCTATTGCATATATAACAAAATAAACAGTATTTCATTTATGAAGAACACTAAAACGTAACTATATAATTTACTTAAGAGTCTTGCAACTTTAAAAACTATACTTAAATAATAATAATAATAATAATAATAATAATAATAATAATCTAACACTTGCATGGAAATATCAAGCTTGCTAGATATCAAACTCACGCCACACAAAGCAATCCAACGCAAGGCAAGCGGGCCGGCGCAAGCGAGTGACTCGTGAACAGTCCTATCTGCGCTTAAGTGACAGGACAGATCTTTTCGTATGCGCAAAGCGAGTCACGCAAGCAAGCGAAAGACGCAAGTGAAAGATTCGTTAACCCCAAGTGTAGTGATGCAATCGCGCGTTTTACGATCGCGCGTTTGCATCGCATCGCTGCTAAAAGTCTCTCTGTGTGTGTAGCCCTTAGATCTCCTATGTAATGCTAGAGAGTAGAAATGAGTTAAATAATAATTTTAATTATACTGTAGTAAAATTACTTTTTAAGACTTATAGGCGATAAAGACGGAGTTGTCTTTGTTGTTTTATGAATACTTGATTTGGCTCACGGTTAGTGTTCTTTGTCTAATTTTTGTTATTTAAATATTCAAGTATATTATCGTAAAATATTAAATAATATTGCACGATACTTTATTATTAAATAATTTATATAACGATTTACTGAACACCAATATTTCACGAAAATTAGGCAGTGTGCACTACACCGAGAATGATCAATTTACGAAGTTTGTGAAATTAATTAGAGAAATTAATTTGTTGTCTATTTTTGACAACTTTTATGTAAGTACTACATTTTTAATTGTGATAATTCTTTGTAAATTAAAAATATGTACTAAAAATCCTGAAATGTTAAATTTCATGAAATTATAGTCGGGAAAAATTCAGTATCGCATTCCCATTGCCAATCCAATTAATAAATTATATTAGAAAATTACGTATATTTTTCAATATCTTTATTGACTATCATCTATGTCTTCTATACATTTAATGAAATTAAATATTGTACACGGAATCGTTGTATCATTTGCCCCCATTTTTCCTCCACGCAAACAGATGTTTCAAATCGTTCATTCATTTTCCTAAAGACGTCTTTACAATGTAACAAATGTTTCCGCACGCATGCGTCCGTTCAGTCATTCAGTAACCTCTGTGACGTTGGTCGTAATAGACGTGTAATTTGGAACTTTCAATTATTAGCCGAGAACTATAGATTCTCCAATATCTCTCGAGAAATAGCACTTAAACCAACTTGCCGGTATCCAAAAAGAGCAACTAAAGTAAAACATCTGTGAATTAAGGTGTAATTTGTGAAAAATTCCATCGGCCTACTTCGCCAATCTTGATTCATAGGAATTCTAACGTCATTAACGAAAATGTCTTACCATGTAAGTATGATTGATTTTTAATTGTTTATATAGCTTTGGCATAATTTTTATAAAGGAGTAACGTGTAGTAGATAGGGCATTCCCAGATGATGTAAGAGTAAAATGCTCGGGCCTGTAAAGCCTTGAACTCGACACGTAAACAAGGTATATACCTAAACAATAATTCCGTAAATAAATAAATATCGACATACGATGATAACGTTTTCAAAAGCCGGCCCGTGAAAATATTTTTGAAATAACTGCTAGTACGATTTTCAAATTTTATTTTATTATGGGGTTTGTTTTGTATTTTCCTCGATCTCCATTTTTGGGGTCACTTGGTTTTCATTGAAGTTTTTACGTAATTGACCTTATGTGGTTTACCTTAAACAACCACAATAGGGTCACATACTTTCATTGGAATTCTAGAAAAATTTAATTTACCAATTTACCTGGAGAGCTAATTACAATGTTATCAAAATTTACTACGGTGTTTCTTTGTTTTTCATTATCACATAATTAAAAAGAACATACTTGTGTCTTGGGAACTGAAGTAATGATTATTACAGTTTTATACTTAAGATTCACTTCACTTCACTTTTTATTTTTATGGCTTTTTATCACATATAATGGATAATACTTCTCTGTTAAATTGCGGATTGATTAAAATTAAAAAGCAAAAATCACAACAAACTAATCATATTATCAATGACAATTACAAAACTTATCTCCTAAATACCCTACGATGGTAATTCGTGAGTTTTTAGATACCTAATAACTCTGAACGACTTCCCCTTTTTACTCTTCAAACACTATTTTGAGCAATTGAAGTTTAAAATTTAATTTGTAGACCCTTTTTTAGTTATAATATAAGAGTATAATCATAGAAATTATTTCTGGTAATTTTGTTTTTTGTGCCCACTCAAAATTTCACATTCATGGTAGTTGTTGTTAATTATACATCAAAAATATAGAACAAAATACTATACCTTAATTTCAATAATTCATATCTAAATCTGTGTGTGTTACATCCTTAATTGATTAAATTGTGAATAACTAAATAAATTAAGTTTTGTTAAATATACTCTGCCTACTTTGATAATTAGTCGGCAATAAAAAAGCCACCTATTAGGAGACTCTTGACCATCAAGAAAGTCTCCTAATAGATTGAAATTATCAAAATATATATTTTTTGATAACTATCTTGGTAATTATTCAGTATATATTCAATAATTATCTATGCTAATTTATAGTTTTGTCTCTTTAATTTTTGATTAAAAGTGACATACAGTAAGAAAACTAAATAAACATGAAGAAAAATCTTTGGGAAAACCAACGCGACTTTTTTGAGATTGACATTTGACATGCTTGGATACCCTGTCTGATACAAACTCCACAACCACATTACTAGCGATAGCATTTTGCTGCTCCAGTTAATTTTGTAAATGTCAAGGTATCTAGCTACATACATCTAGGTACTTATTATTATGTAGCAAGATAATTATAGTGATAATAATCAATGATAATAATATAAAGTTTATATTAACCACTAATAAATATTCCACCTTCCAGCGTGAGCCAACTGTGTTTGGTGTACCCAACTTCAATGCAGCAGAAGATGCAGCTGCCCTACGTGGTGCAATGAAGGGTTTCGGCACCGATGAGCAAGCCATCATAGAGATCCTTACCACGAGGTCCAATGCACAGCGGCAGGCCATTGCGCAGGCATTTACACATGAATATGGAAGAGTGAGTATGACTTTTCACTAGCTTCAGCTCAGGATTAATGATATAAATGTTTCATACAATCATAGCCAATGCTAGAGACTCATACTGGAGATTTTTCTGCTTCCAAGTAGTTACACAGAAATAATGAGTAGTGGTAAAAATGCAATCCCCAGCTGAAATGAATTGTTCCTTCAAAAACAACTGCTGCACATGAATTCTTCAGCAATGGTGCATTTGGCCCAACCAGGACCCCGATTCAGAACAATTCCATATTTTAACTGAATCATTTGATTGGATATCGTTCTCGAATCGAAGGGCGCTTTCCGAGCTATTCAGAACATTCGAGAACGTTCCACTCGGATTCGGATACGATATCGTTATAGCGTTTACGAAATTAGTCGATGAAATGGAAAAATGAAAATCTATTAAGTATACATTTTTAAGACTTATGGCCTAAATAAAATACAGGAATGCATTAATCTTGCATTAAAATAAATTAATAAAATTCAACAAAATCTAGACTATTACGCTCGGTAATTTTCATTCGATAACTGTGTTCTGCGTTCGTAGCCTTTGCCGGTCGAGAAGCTCGGTAATTGTACGGGTGTTACGTCATTTCGGTTCGGTTGCAAATACGACAGTTTGACGTTCGATTCGGGTGTTGTGAATAAAAATGAAAAGAAATCGGTCGACAACTGATTTATCGTAAGGTTCTAAATCGAGCCCATGGATGAAATTCAATACACCGGATGCAAGAGGTGGAATATTTTTTAATGAGATCATTACTGAGGGGATTCGCTCTGGACCTTTTGGAGGGAAAAGTGTCGTTTTTATTTTGACTTTCAATTATTTTGTGAAATCTAGTTTAAAGTGGAATAGGATAGTGCTATTGTGCCTTAATCGAAGATTAAAACGCGAAATTATACGAATCTCGAACTAAAATACCCGTATCGGCCCGTTCTAAGGGATCCAAGCACGCCGCCTCAAATTGCCTATCCTCTTTGTGGCGGCCATATTTACAGAAACATAATTAAACTTCATGTTTAGGCTGATGGCTTTGCCAAAGCCTTAATAAATTAAAAAAAAATCATTACTGAGGTACCCCCTTTCCATAAAAAAAATAATCATCGAAATCGGTTCGTACAAAAAAAGTCTGATTGAGAACCTCCTGATATAATGGTATGGTCGATTTATTGTTTTTTTAAATATTTAAAAAAATATATGCTTTAACAATAATTGTAAATATTATAATAACAAGGCAATGTCATGGAAGATATACAAATAAAAAATAAATAAGGGGATGTGGAATTGACTAGTGCCGTCCGAACCTTACTGTAGCGAATCTTTTTGTACATATTATTTTATATAATCTTTTTAGCAGTTTTGTTCTAGATTGAAATTCTTATTTTTTTAATAATATCAAATGACGACGGCACGAACAAGTCGTGCGCCTGATGGTAAGCTACATGCGTGTCCATAACAGTTGCAGTGCCACTCAGGCAAAGATCTGAGGGGCACTGTCACTGCGCCTGTCACCCTGAGACTTATGTTGACAAGTCCCATGTGCCTATAATTTCACCAGCACCCTTACCCTTCAAGACCGGAACACAGTGATGCTCACAATACTGCTTCGCGGCAGGAATAGGGAAGGTGGCAGTACTTCCCTGGACGAACTCTTTCGCAAGGAGCTCTACTGCTACTAAAAATTCTAAATTTAAATGTGCTTGTTTTGGCGCCTTTTTCTTTGTTATTGTCATTGTTTTCTCTGTTTCGTTCATATTTTTTGGTGGCATTGGCCTGCCGGTGGTCTTAATAAACTTAATTACATCTCCTTTGGTCTTGCTCACTCTTCATTAGCACCCAAATTCAATTGATACGGTCTGCTATACTAACATTACCCAGACGAACTAGATCTCAAACAAAATTTGAAAATTCCATGATAGCGTAATAATAATCTTTTGGCGCTTATCAGTACCAGTATAAACAAACAACACTTTTATCCATCAGTTAAACTAATTTATAGCACTAACTAACCTAACACTGTTTGTTTTATTACTCTGTTGGCACAAACATGTGACGTTTTCTAATAATATTATTATTACCTATATATATTTTTTTAATATATAATAGACACACGCTTGGCCACAATCTCACCTGATGTTAAGCGACGACGGGACGCGTTTGCCTAAAAAATGCCTATTTACACTAGTCTGGAATAGTCCCAAATTGTACTTTTCGGGAAACACAGATGAGTATTTCATTCCTTTGCCGTACACATCAGAAAGGAGAAAGCAAAGCTTTTAGTGCGAATAGGTGGTAAATCAACGACATAAAGATGGAGTGTTCCGGACCTGCTAGTCGAACGAAGGAGGAACGGTGTGTGTGGAACTAAATTGAAAAGTTCCTGCGCACACTCCCCGAAACGTATCCGATAGAAAACCGACAAGCAGGCTACTTTTCTGCGATGGTCGAGATTTTGTAGTTTCGACTCCACAAGAGAATTGTTGTTAATAAGTATCTTTACTTTTCGCACCACCGAGTCCAAGGCAGCACGAATACATGTCGGAAAGACGAAGTAAGGTGTAGGAGACTCCGTTTTGATGAGAAAAGACACGCCTGTGTTTTAACCACACTAAACCTGACCCTGTTCGCGTCTCCCCAGTCGAAAGCCGCTTTCAGGCCCAGGTTCCACCACCCGGTGGAACCCGGTGGAAGTCACCCGAACTTCGCCTCTCGTTTACACCGGACCTCTTCGCAGTTGTCTCGGACGTTATTAATTAATTTTATGTTTAAATAAACAAACAAATGAACATTTTAAATGTTTTTAATACAAACAAGATTGCACCCTTTAATTAATAAATTTAAAATAATATTTTTAAAATAAAATATTTGCAAGACAGGCAAGTTTTTTTTTAATTGTTAAGGGCTGACCAAGGCGAACTTACAAAACAAACACAAACAAAAAGTACTGCTTATTTCTAACAGAAATTTCTTCCTGCAGACCAAAATACAGGAGACAATAATTACAATGATGGGTTTGATTGGTTTGACGTGTACAACAAAACAAAAATATGAATAAAAAATACAATATTAAAAACTTGAAATTATTAAAACTATATAAATAGTTAGATTAAATACATATTCCGTAGTATAATACCTATAAAATGGATGGACAGTCAGTACTTTTGTACTCGATATTTTTCTGATATTAGTACTTTTTGACAACTATCGCATCGTATCGTTTCGAATAATTCCTACTTAGGACATCTCATATATTCATCATCATAGGCAACTCAATTGTAGTGGCCACTTTTGTGCGCAGGTCTCCTGTGAGGATAGGATTAAGGCCACGATGGCCCAATGCCGGTTTTTTTTAAAGTATGCTTTTATAAACGCTTTTCACATAGACGCTTTTATAGCTAAATAAGTTTATTTGTAAAACATGAATTTCATTTTTATTTATTCACATTGACGAATTAATTAGTTTAGGAAATATAGATGGCGGAACTTGAAACATAGATACGTTGTTAACGGTTACGCTTAAATTGAAAAGCGTGCTTATGTGCTTATTTTTAAAAGCAAACTTTTTTTACGTGCTTTTCGTTTAACCTGTAATTATGAACAATTAAACATATAAATGCGCTCTATTTCTTAAAAGGGTTATCCCTTTACAGATAACTTTAACAGCCTTGATATACTATAAATTGGACAAACTGTCTGTCATACAAAAAGTGAATGATTCACGCAACAAGCACACAATAGTATACAATTTTTTTACCATGACCTTCTGATTCAACTAGACTTGTTTAGTTCATGAGTCATACTCAAAGTGACTAGGAGTTTTCCGACTCTATATGGAACTTACTTCACCGTACAGATTTTCAGATTCGTAGTTATTTGCTAAATGATTGCAAATGAAGCTATTTTTTCGTATTTAAATCGCGTATATATTTTTTTTAAATTTATTTCGAGAGAAATACAACAGGTAACTTATTTACTAAAAGTAGGCAAACTGTTGTGCAGTTTGTTGGCGACACTGACATATATCTTGATATCTAGATATATGTCTGTGGTTGGCGACATGGCACTCCTACTTAATTATACCTACTTTACTATGCATTTTATAACATTCTATAATATTAACTGTACTTACTAAATAAAATATAAAAATTACATTAAGAGGTACCCCTTTAACCTACATTTTAGTGTACATTTACTTTTTTGCGTCATTCCTCAGCCAATCAATGTCGTTATATATTTTTGGAACGAAATAACGTGTACATATTATTATTTTTCCATTACAGTTATTTGCTTTAAACTGCACTAGTTTACCCTGCCTTACTCTTTTTGTCATGTACCTAGTCTTAAGCCTTGCTTTATAATTATCACTATAGTAATTTTCCAACACTATCAAATATCTGGTCTTTATTTCATTGGCACGACCTTACAGTGACTAAATAAGTCATTGTATTCTGTGCCATTGCATTTTTGTTTCACTTTTTTGCATACCAAATGTTTTATCAGCCTAGTTTGTAACTATCTGATCTCTTTTAAATAACTATCAAATATTTGTTTTTCGTCTTTTAAACAAACTAAAACAGGCACAGTGGCGGGGTGCCACTCTTTTCGTTTGCTCCGATAAAGTATAAATAACCCTATTCAGGGTTTATTGTCAGACGTTCTACGCTAGTCTAGCTGTGGTATCACTATACTAAACGAAATTTTGATACGACTAGAGTTTAATAAACAATGCATTTCGCGCTATGCTGCGGCTACCCTAGTGGTGTATATAGTGTGAATAGAGTAGATGATTTTTTCGCCATGATACGTAAAAGGTCTAAATGTAAAGGTCTTTTCTTACGAGAGTGAGCGAATCGGCCAATATTATTGTGAGAACATTTCGTGTTACTATTTCTTAAACGAAACTCAGTTTAAAAAAAAACGTATAAATAATTCTTAATTTACTTTAAATTCTTAATAAATAATTTCTATTAATAAAAGTGAATAGAAATGTAATGTAATGTTAAATTATTAACAGGTTTACACCTAAATAAAGAAACATTCTATTTATTTATCTATAATCAGAATGTGTCGAGATAAGATCATTGCTTTTTCAAACAGACAGACAAAGTTTGACTTAAAAAAATAAAACAAAGGAATACTGGCACCTGTTTGATCTTTTCAATTTTGAATTTGTGTTCTATTTGTGGGTTTTCAAATTTAATTCTATTAATTCCTTAAAAAAAATATTTTTCTCATGATGGAGAGAACAAAATAGAGCGCAATTGCGTGTACGTATAGCTTGAGTTTTTTAGTTTTTAACCATATTATGTTGCTTTATACAATTGTTACTACTGTTTTATTTTCTTTTTTAAACCAACTTCAAAAAGGAGGAGGTTTTCAATTTGATGTTTGTTGTATGTTACGTGATAACTCGTGAACCGATTTTGATGATCCTTTTTTTGTTGGACTGAGGCTTACCTCAGTAGTGGGTAGGCGCACTTTTCGGTAACCGTTTTATCAATAAAACTTGGCAAATATTGTCGTTTTTTTTTAGTATTGTGTATTGAGATTATCATTAATTATTTTTGTTTTCCTGTCTTTCTAACTTTGGACAATGTACACACGCCAGCACATTAAGCGACACATTGACGTATCTTGTTCCGTTGCACTGGAGGCGATTTTTGAACAAAAATGTGTAGTCTGTTGTGCCGTTGTCCGTACACTAGTATTAATTTATTACTTCTTCTAATCATGTCGATGGCTTACAGTATAATGCTTGCCATATCTAGGGTAGAGTAGGGTAGGGCGGACTAAAGCACATAAGTAAAAAAAGAATGATAAATTTGACAAAGGCGCCTCTAAAATAAAGTTACAAATTTATGAAGTAACAAATGAATTTGATGTATTAGTTTAAATGAATGATGTTGGATTTTGACTTATGTTCTTTAGTTCGCCGACTCTACATATATGCTTAAAAGATTTGGTATGTATTACTAAATTAAATAAATAAATAAATAAATATTAGATAACATCACTTACGTTGCTTTGATCACAAAGTAAGTAGCTTTAAGTAAGCACTTGTGTTAAGGAAATCGGAAACAATGAACGGTACCACGAACATAGAAAATGTAAAAAATAGACAAGTTAGTGTTTCTACACTGACCCGGCCGGGTATCGAACCCGGAACGTCAGAGATGGCGACACAATGAAAACCGATATACAAGCCACTCGACCATAGAGGGCGTCAAACTGTAAAAACTCTAGTTTGTGTACATTTAAAATAAAAAAATAATAAATAATGTGATTTGTTCATATTATTCCAGTGCCATAATGACATTTACATTGCACACCTTTACAAATCGATCCTTTAAATTCGTTAGAAAATTATATTAACCAATGTTTGGCCTTGAATAATTTTCAATTTGGCTAAAGATATGTATGTTGTACGTTGACACAGCTGCAGGATATACACACACTCACGTCACCAAATCATTAACTACGTACCTACGTGGTACCTACACATTTTATACAGAGCGTAAAAGCGTAAAACAGACGAGAGAGATACGTGCTGCGATACTCCGCGGTCGGTGTCCCAGAACATTGAAATTGGTACCTTGTTTCAATTGGAGTAGCATATAATATACATTGATAAATTCCTCTTCCTCTGCCTTCCATTCGCCGCGCCGATTTGCGCTGCCCTATTGTGAAATGGTCCGTTTTAAAAAGTTCGAGTGGTCCTACCAACAATTGAACCCTCCTTATCTAGTTCCCACAGAGCTAACTTTAGGGTTACCTAAGTCATAGTGTATGTTCGCGAAAGTTCTAGACTAAATACAAACAAAAAACTACAGTCGAATTGAGGACCTCCTTCTTTTTTGAAGTCAGTTAAAAATGTAAAGTCCAACGTCATTGTAATACGCTTATTGCTTTGAAATACAATTCATACGGCGTGACAGTGCTTTGCTCTCAATAATAAATTGTACAGACGCATGTGCAGGGTCAAGAGCACGTCAAGCTTAAGACTTAAGACTTAAATCCAAGTCAACGCCGCTTACTGCTACTGACTATCGACTGACGACAGTTAGTGACGCTTATGCAATAAATAGCCGAACTTGTTTCATTTGAATTAACATTCGTCCAACTGCTATCTATCGATAAAACTGTCGACAACAACTACATACCTATTTAAAATATTATGAAAACTGACAACCCTGCAAATGTCATTTTTTTCAAATTCAAATTATTTATTTTTCTCAGATAACAGGATCCATTGGTGTTATTAAAAATAAAGAAAACAAACTTATAGACTATTGTTAGTATGAAATTACAAATTATAAATTACTTAGAAACTAAAATGTCATGTACTTACGAGGCATCTCGTGCGGAATCATTGTCCGTACGAGATGCCTCAATACAGGCCCTCTGTGGTCGTTTGCAACAACTCTCAGAATGCTGTTGTCACTTCCCCGGAGCCTACTAACCAACGATGCTACCTTTCTCCGCAAGACCGCATTAAAGCAGCTTGTATGGGATAGAGCAATCATTGCAGAGGCACTGCAGTACCGGGGTAGTCCCAACATCATCCTGAACACGTTGTTGTACTGGACGCGAAGGGAATTTAGCGACCTTTGTGAACAGCTAAACCACAAGCCGCCCGTGTACAGACCCTGACAATACGCTTTAAAAAGCGAAATTTTTACTTGGTCCGTACAGCGGGCAAACCTGCGGGCCAGCATATTCCCGCGGACCGCCAAAACCCTGCGTTCCCTCTCGACTGCTCTGCGTTTTTGCTCCGTCTTCCAAAAAAGACACTAGGTATAGAAGTGTTCATATGAGTCAATCCTATAAACTTAATGAATTGTAGTTACACATAGAACTTTTCTTAAACGAATTCAGTTAAACGATGATTTCTGAGTATCCTATTATTTTCTGCCCAGGACATAATCGAGGACCTAAAATCGGAGCTCGGAGGTCACTTCGAGGACGTAATCGTGGCACTGATGCTGCCGCCCGAGGAGTACCTCTGCAAGGAGCTGCACAATTGCATGGACGGGATGGGAACTGACGAACACACGCTTGTTGAGATTTTGTGCACGCGCACCAAGAAGGAGATCGCTGCTATTGTCGCGACTTACGAGCAGAGTAAGTAAAATTTTTGTACTACTCGTATAAGGGCGCGCTCCCATTATGTACGACTGTCGCGTGTAGCCTGTTCCCATATCACAACTATCTATCGTGACTGTGTCGTGGACGTTAATTTTATCGTTGAACGACTGTTGTGTCTAGCTGTTCCCACTAGATCGTGACGACGACAATTTATCGGTTCACGGCAGCTGCCTTGTCGTTTGCACTACAGAATCGTTTGAAGCTGCTATTATCTGTCGTGACATTTTAGTTATCGTCTGACGACTGTCGTTCTAGCTCCTAGTTTCCCAAAAAAGGGCGCTTAAAAGTCCTAGAGGGTAGGGGCTTCGAAAATAATTGGGGTGCGTTGATGCTGTCCAGGGGGTGCTACAGCACTTGAAAAAAAAAAACCCGAATTATTTATATAAACTATCCTACAAATGTGAAAATATGCACAAACTATGTCATTAATTATTACAACTTATGAAATATATTAAAACCAATATCAAAATTTAGATAACAATAATTGACATTAAAAAGCATAAATGTAGTGATGTCAATATAATTTAATTTATCATTCAAATAAAAAATTAATGGTCAAAATTGGATAAATCAATGTTTGCAGGAAAGACTAAAACAAAAAATAAATAATCCTAACAAATGTTCGTAAATTATGACTGAAGCTATATGTGAAATAAATCAATAGTATTATTATTTTAATAGTATCTTTTTGGTCACCGCTCCTGATTCTCTTAATTGTCGCTTAATGCGTGCCCTGACACATTTCACCCACAAATCCATCCACACTCTATCTCCCACATACCAACACACACACACACGCACATTCTACCCCAACACACACACACACACACACATTTAAACACACACACACGCATTCACACGCATACTCACATTTACCCATGCACACAGCTAACCTTTTGCATTAACTTATTTTGAACTATTTTTTTGGTTTGTATTCATTTCTTGGCAAATTTTTCATGTTTTTAATATTTAAGTTATCTTTATTTCTAAATTTTCTAAATTGTTTAAGTAGTTTGTTGTGCGAATTTGATCACCAATTATAATTGGCTAAAGTTTATGTTACCATTGGGGTTAGGCGCTGCATGCTGAGATACAGGTTTAATCCTAGTTCGGCTGCAGAGGCTTACATAATTTGAAATGTACAATTTTCTTAGCCTTATTTTATAATTTATAATTAATTATTTTGTATGTCTGTACATTATTGTTTAAAGTAAATAAACATTATTATTATTATTATTATTATTATTATGATGTTCTTATGTCAAAATCGTGATAAAAATTAAGTTAAGGTATGTCAGTGCAGTTGAATAATAGAAAATGCCAATAATTATAAAAACATGCAGTGAGAACTGAGTTTAACTGCCTCCGTGGCCGAACGGTTACCATGCCGGACTGCCACACAGAGAAATATTTGTGTGGCCTACATTTATTTCTCTCGTGAGTTTGGGTATAATTTGTGGTTGTCTATGTGTGTGTCCATGGCACCCGCGACACAGGGTTTCTGTAGTGCGATGAGTGCGGAGCTATATTGGGTGTGTTAAAAATCTCTCAGTAGTTGTCACTAGCGACAACGAATGCTGAAAACTAGTATCTATAACAAAACACACAGGAGAATTTCGACAACTCGGCAATTGGACCCGTAGCTCAGTTGGTAAGTGCAATGTTACGGTACAGCATGGACGTGGATTAAAGTCCCACCGGGTCGACGAAATTATCCTGTGTGTTCGATTTTTGTATGCATAATCATCTGTATATTCATTCATATTTTTATTGTCATACAGTGTACAACCGACCTCTAGCAGAGCACATGTGCTCGGAGACATCTGGGGACTTCCGTCGGCTGCTAACGCTCATCGTCACTGTAAGTCATCGTTATATTAAACCTACATACGTTACACAGCTGAGCACGGGTCTCTACACAAAACATTGAATCACATAATTAAATAACACTGCTGTCTCACTTTAATCCAAACCAAGAACCACGGCAAACAACTTCAACGTCGCCTTTATCTATTCGTTTGTGAGTTTGATTTAGAACACGTTAAATCATAACTTTTTTTATAATATCAAATGACGGGACGAACAAGGTCTAGCGCCTGATGGTAAGCTACACGCCTGTCCATGACAGTTGCAGTGCCATTCAGTGCTTTAAATCGCATATGTCTGAGGGACACTTCCACTGCGCCCGTCACCCTGAGACATAAGTTGACAAGTACCATGTGCCTGTAATTTCACCAGCACCCTTACCCTTCCAAACCGGAATACAGTAATGCTGACATTACTGCTTGGTGGCAGAAATAGGTACTACCCTAGACGAACTCTTTCACAAGGAGCTCTAAAAAGTTGAAAAAAAAACTTGTACCGGATATTACAGTTCTATATTAAACACATGTCTAAATATAGCTTTGAAAGTTCCTACTACTCGTAGTTATCGATCTGCCATTCTCGTGCCTCTGCCACGAGGTCACTGGCGACAACTGTAAGCGAATGGTGGATGGTACTAATTGCGATTCACGTTGATTAAACGACAGGTGACCAAACGGTAGAGCTCTAATTTATTATATTATGACCTGTGCCCATCGTGTGTCCACGTATTATTAAAATGTAGTGCATTAAAGCAAACATCATATTTATCGATTAAGCCGTTCACATACAGGGGTAATTCGTAAAATACATATAACCTCGCATGACAATACGACTTTTTACGAAACATAATAAATTTACCAAATAAAATAATTTTATTCGTCATCATGGGTACAATAAAGATGTTAACAGAGAGGTTCCATTAAATAATAACGCACAAACTCAACATAGCCCCGCACTAGGGAAACCCTGTGTCGCGGGTGCCATGGACACACACATAGACAACCACAAATTACACCCAAACTCACGAGAGAAATAAATGTAGGCCTAACAAATATTTCTCCCGGCCCGGGAATCGAACCTAGGACCTCTGCGTGGCAGTCCGGCATTCGGTTCGGCCACCGAGGCAGTTAATTAATAATAATAAAAATAACAATAATAAGAATCATTAACAACAGTCATAAATCACTGATTATAGGTTCCACTTTCACACGACAATGAAAAACCTAGTCTTAAAATGTATAACAGTTAGGGTAACAAAAATAATTTAATTTAGAAAATAATCAATCTAAATAAATCAATGTCATGCGGTCACGTTCGTCTCAACAACAAATAAATTAATGTGAAATTAAGTAACAGAATTCCTTAAACGTTTTCCAATTAAATAGTCAAATAATACCAAATGTAAACTGTCGTTTCTGTTGTTGTATTTGGCAGGAAGGTAGTAAGTTCAAATATCGTCCCCGATGACTCCTGGTATTTACAGAGTTATCACCGTTTAGAGCGATCTGTATTAAATACTTTTTTTTTTTACGAAAAATATCTGATGCATTTTATTAATTTAAAGTCATGGAACAAAGGTTGTTGTTAATGATATTATTTATAATAATATAGCCCGGCGAGGATGTTAGTTATTTTACAATTAACCCTGTATATAAACACGCATGCTCATGTATATGAACGAAACATATATGCACGCACACGTCCATAATCGCCTTGCAATTAGGGTTCATTATGGTATGTTATTGTTATTTAATGTAATATTGTTGGATTTGCTTATATTTGCCATTTGTTTTTCAGTAGCTTCACTTTATCATTAATTTATTACATTTTTAATGTAAATTTATAAAGTTCGTCATTTAAGAATATAAATTGAATTAAAAAAAACTGTAAAGTTTGAAAATAAATATAAAGCTTTATGTCCATGTAGTAAGAGTGAAAAAGACATTGTACGTTAACTGTTTACATATTTCACTAGAGGATGAAATTGTCAAATAAATGACATTCAAGAAACTTTAATATAATATGGCGTTGCTTGTTCACGCCGTATTGCTTTATTTACGTAGTATGCCTAACGTGAGTATAATTATTTTCTCTCAGAGTGGGACGCTTGTATATTCGTTATTGTTTTAAAAGTAGAATACACGTTTAAGATGCTTGCGAAATGTTTAATAATTAAAAAAAGAAATAAAAATGTTTAATATCCAAAAATTTAAAAAAAGAACATATCTAATGTAGGTGGGATAGTGCGACATTTAAAAAAAATATTTGTCATGTACCTTGTTTTGTCAAAGCAGGACATTTTTAAGTATTTTGGGGATAGCGGGAATCGCGATATTTTTGGCATTGACAAACATTGAAAGAGCCAGACAAGATTTCCAACGATATCACGCTATTGCCCCAAACGTTACAGGATTAAAAAATCAATTCAATTGAAATCAATTGCAATTGATTTTAATTGAATTGATTTTAATTGCAATTAATTTTTTTAGTTGTTCTAAAAAACAATTGAAACTAACAATTAAAACCGAAAGTACCGAATAAAAGTGTCATTACGAATATGGGTTAGAGAGTGGGTTAGGGGTGTGTTAGGGGCTCGGTTAGGGGGCCGGTTGGGGGGTCGGTTAGGTGGTCGAGTGGGTAGTCGGTTGGGGGATCGGTTGGGGCGCCGGTTGGGGGGCCGGTAAGATGCCTGGTTGGGGGACCGTTTGTTTGGCCGGTTGGGGGGCCGGTTGTGGGGTCGGTTGGGGGGCCGGTTGGTGTGCGGTTAGGGGTGAGTGAGCCCCCCTAACCCAACCTACCTACCCACCCACCCACTCACCAGCTCACACACCCACTAAAACCCACTCACCCACCCCCTCGCCTGCCCCCTAACCTACCACCTAACCCCTAACCTACCACCTAACCCACCCGCTGATCCACCCCTAATCAACCCTCATATGCCCTATACATTTATCATAATTGTCAGTTTTAATTGTTAATTGTTAATCAAAAACATTGAAAAGATTGAAAATTGATTAATTGTTAATGGTAGATATACGCGATTAATGATTGATCAATTGTTAGTTAATTGTTAATTGCGGTTCTCGCAACTAACAATTGATCAATCGTTAATTTCTGTTTCGCAATTGACAATTAATTAATTAATTAAATATCAATCTTTAATTGCCAGAACAATTAAATTTTGCCCAACACTACTTGCATGCAAGTTTAACGTCACACTTGTATGCAAGCTTTTGCAGCATCGAAATACACTCATAAAAGTGTTTAGAGTACCTCAAAAAAAAATTTGAATAATGATATCAATCATCATTCATCGTTATAAACCACTGGCCACATATGTATACTAGAGCGGTTAATACCTCCCTCTGAAATCCCGGAATGACGGTATTTTATCAATTTTTTTTATTGTACCTAGCAGTTATCTGACTATGGTAGTGAATTTTGAAGAAAAGCAATTCTCATTGTTCTGGGTTTTAAGCAAAATCATTACTCTTAATACCAGCAATACTTACATAATGTATGTTTGAATGTTTATAGGAATCGCTTTGGCGGTTGTTTTTCTTTGCACACTAACTGTGGCTTATAAAAAACCAATGCATACGAGTAATTATTGCTCTATGTAACGTCATAATGGAATTCTTGTTATGATATTACGGGGTGGCATTTTAGGTCCTATTTTATTTAGTTCGTATAATTATTTCGTTAAAAATGTATATTATAATATACATGCAAAAAATTTTATATTCTAGTCTTTTAGCATATTCAAACTATCTTTATTTTTCACAAGTAAGCGAATGACTCTTGATATAGTCAAATTGATTAAATACTATACTTCTCTTACTTCTTTCGTAGGTACATAACTCAGAGAAAAGTGAATAAGAAACTCTAGGGGTTGCTCTTTTTGGAAATTTATTTTCACATATCATTTACAATATTTATTTTAAAATATCATGGCTGGAAAGAATCTAAAAGAGCTAAATTACTACCATGGTTTTTGGTATCCAAGTACGCAGCAGCTGTATAGTAATTACAAAGCTTCAAGATTGTTAGTAAATGGCAAATTTTAAATAATAAAAATCTATGGCTTTGCCTCCTAATATCTTCACGACTACCAAGAACAGCCAGTTTATCTTTTGTATTTATCAAGGCATAAAATTAGTTTTTGACCTGGAATAAATAACTTATAACTAAACGAAATCCACGGAAAAGTAATAGAAGGACTAAAATATCACCCAGTAAAATAACATGAAATTTCCCGGAGTTCCGGATAGGGATGACTCATCGAGGGCGAGAAGGTCACAGGGAGGTTTGGAATGGGGGATAGGGCGCGGTGATGGTAGCACGAAATATTCTATTACTTTTGCTTGGGCTAAATATCTTTTACCTTGGACTTGTGGCAGTGTAATTTGACTAATTACATTTTTTTTGTAATGTAAACTTAATATATGTAAATATATTTGTAAATAGATTTTTTGTATTATAATACTATTAAATATAATTTGTGTATGGTCAGGTAGGGTTAGTGGAACACCAGAGGAGGGAGTTGAGTTAGCGCCCAGTTACACGAGGAGGAAGTTTCCACGCGTCTGCCGCGCGGCGTCCGCCCAGCTCCACGCCTTCATGCACATTAATGGCAAATCTGAATTCTGTTTACTAGGCAACAACATTTAAATTCCTCTGAATAATACGCTCATTTAAGTTAAAACGCAAAAGTTAAGCAAATAGAGCGTATTTTTATAAACAAATTAGTTTAAATGATTTTCAAGAGATGGCGCTACGATGCTCCAAATCCAAAAAGGCGGAAAAACCAAATTTGACAGTTGTGAAATCTTGAGAACACGAGGTATATAATATCTTCATTACAAATACGATAACTATTCTTCTTACCCCATCTATTGAGGGAAGAGAAACGTTACCAGAATTTGCAGATTTTAGACAAATACATCGCAAGTATTGAATTTAGTATAATGATGGTTAACACCATGTGAAGGTGATAAACAAACGCAAGTTTGGTGTATTTCGAAATTGTTATAAAACTTTAGCTCCTAGAGTTCAAAATAGAGTATGTCTCTCAAACCCCATCTGGCTATAATGTATATGCGATATTACTAATGGTACGATATGAAGTAAATATATTTTGTAAATATATTTACAAGATATCACTGATTGATCACAATTTGCTACGTTATCAGGTTTTTAGTACGTTACTTGTTAGTAAATACAGTACGTGATGATAGCACATACAAAGAAATATCTAGATGTTTATAGTATTACTGTCAAATTGACTACCCAGTTATTATTTTTACGAAACAATAAACTTTAAACAATTCAAAATTTCATCAAAACTATGCCACAAGTCCAGGGCGCCTGAGAGCTCTATGCACGGCGTAACTTGTAGTCCTCCCCGCAGGGGGCGCGCGACGAGGAGGCCGGCGTGAACCCTGCGCGGGCGCAGGAGGCCGCACAGCAACTGTACGATGCCGGAGAGGCTAAGTGGGGCACCGACGAGGAAATCTTCAATAAGGTATGTTTTACCACGTCACTTCTTTTCCATAATTATATTTTTGAATTGATTTAAATTTACACCAATAAACATCACGCCGACACGCCGAATCTTCAATCTCAAAGTCTCAAATTGTTAGTGGCTCCGACTAACAACACCAAATGTGTATGTAATTTTAGCTGATCACCTGCCACTAACTAGATGGCAATGTATGGAAATAGTACTTTTGGTTACAAATAGGTGGAGCTGTTTATTTATTAAGTAATTAATATTGATCGTGCAATAGTAACAATATTAATCGCAAAATGGCAACATTAGTTATACATATTTATAGTTCATCTTTTTTGAAAACAGAGTAAAATGACAGTTCATTACGCAAAAGCGTTGCCCGCTCACTAGCAACTAGTGATTGCAGTCGATAAATGTTCTATATAGAATATTTTCAAGCTTTTAATTTAAATTTAATATACATAATCAAATCCAATATGAATAAAAATTTATATCGATACTAGTAGACTAACTGTCAAAATAAGAAGGCAATAACGCAATTAGTAGTCATTAGAACGTCGTAACATTAACAATTTAGTTATTTTTGGCAAAATTTTATCCTCCTTGACAATCTATCGATAAAACTATCGACGACAATGACACAACTATTAAAATTTTTATGAAAACTGGCAACCCTGCAAATGTAATTTTACTCCGTCTTCAAAAAAGACAGACTATATAGGAAGGGTTTGGTCCAGGGATTTTTTTACTAGAAAACTCCTATTATATGTTTCTATCCGCATAAAATGTATAATTTTATTATTCCGCCAGCAGGTTGATTCGGTTGTCTATACACCTTCATTGCAGTTTTCCTAAACCTCTTAAATTTCGAGAGGTACTCAAACCTTACAAGTAAATTGACTTGTTAGGGTCCGTTTTCAGCAGTTTACCATTTACTTCGTTTCAGAGGCCTTTTTCCAAGATCGCATAAAAAATTTAATTATTTATTTTTTTATTCCGGTCATTCATGCATAAAGCTCGGTTCCCACTGTGAGCGGAGCCGACCCATTAATGACTTCTTTTACCTCGCAAGAGAAAACTGCTTACGTGTGTTGCCACCAACAAAGAGTCGAGCGGAAATGACTCAGCGGGCAAAAAGAGTAAAAATGACCTCGCTCCTGCCCAGAGTTACCTCGCAATTGAAAATTACATAATAATGCTTCCACCGAGAAAGAGTTGAGCGAAGCGATCCAAACGAATAAAAAGGTGTAAAATTAGTCAGTTGCGTCGCGGTTTCATCAATTAGTTTGTCAATTACTCGCTCGCTGTTTTCCCCGCCCCTCACCCGCGCATTTTTGTGGCAGCCAGCAGACGTGACCGACGTTTTTTTTCGAAATGGAGCAACTCATAGAGTTGACAATCCCCATGTTTATGGGCAAAGAATACCGAAACATAGATGAAAAAGAAGCTGCATTTTTTTTATAATAACGCACACACTCAACATAGCCCCGCACTAGGGAAACCCTGTGTCGCTGGTGCTATGGACACACACATAGACAACCACAAATTACACCCAAACTCACGAGAGAAATAAATGTAGGCCATATAAATATTTCTTCCGGCCCAGGAATCGAACCTGGGACCTCTGCGTGGCAGTCCGGCATGGTAACCGTTCGGCCACGGAGGCAGTCACGAAATGAGAGTGCATGGAAATCTATAGTTGGAAACTCCAATTGAACTCGCACTCTGTGGAAATCGAGTAATCATTTTCTATTTCTCATTTTCCGTTCAGCTCGCTCTGCCCATTCTTCTGTTTCATTTCTCTTTTGCGGTGGGAATCAGACGACTAAACTCTTTCTTGGTGGAAACGCAAACCTTCATTTCATAAAATCGTTTTCAACTGGTGGGAACTGTGTCAGCTAGTGAATTAAAGATAGACTTCAAAATACGGATAAAAATTTTTGTTTTTTTTTTAACATGAATAAATCCAGTGGTACACGGGAGGTTATTATAGCAATGTTGTCGTAATGTATCCTCCAGATCCTTGCGCACGAGAGCTTTGGGCAACTGCGCTTGATATTCGAGGCTTACAAGAACATCGCTGGCCGTACCATCGAGCAGGCCATCAAGGCCGAAATCGGCGGGGAGCTCAAGGAAGCCCTTTCTGCCATTGGTGAGTTACTCCGAGCTCTTTTTGTTCGTGGAATTTTGGACAGAGAACAAAAAATAATGAGAATGGACACTCTCCGCCCCTCCCTAGCTTTAGTTACCGCACCACGCCCCGCGCATTGATTGAACGGCAACAAGGCTGTCGGCGAGCCGTTTTTGCGCTAAGACGGCTTTGATATTTGAATATAGTTTTCATTTATTCATTACGAAACTTGTATGTTACTATTTATAATGGTCGTGAATTGTGCTTATCCGAAAGATGAAACGAAGATGAAAAAACTTATGTCTGAGACTCATTCAGTTATTTCTGAGGTATCTGTAACTTCAGTTTCTATCTTTCGCTAACGGTAAAGAAGGAAAACATCGTAATTAAGGCCTGCCTTTTACCCTGGAAAACATGTGGACTATCCAACTGGCCAGAGTTGTGGACTGTGATGTAAATCTTCTTCTTAGAGGAGACCCGTGTTCAGCAGTGGGGCGTATAATGGGTTGATGATGATGATGATGAAGAGGTGCAAGCTTTTCATGAATTTCTAAAAATTGTACAGACGGCAGCACATCAACTTACACATTGACGGATCTTGTTCCTTTGCACTTGAGGCAATGACCCTGATTCAGAACTCTTCGGTATTTTAACCGAATTGTTCGGTATTTTAACCGAATTTGATACGATATCGTTATCAAACAGCGTTTACGGAGTTAGTCGGAGAAATAGATTATAAGAATAATGAAAATCCTTTTAAATGCATTTTAAGCCTTCCAAGGCCTAAAATGTAGGAATGCATTAGTCTTGCATTAAAATAAATTAATAAAATTAAACAAAATCCACACTTTATTTAAAATAATAAGCGATTTCCATATTACATTCTTGCTATGTACACAATAGGACGTTCGGTAACTTACATTCGGTAACTGTGTCGGAATAACGTTTGTATCATTTGCCGGTCGAGAAGTTCGAGTAATCGTACGGGTGTGACGTCATTTCGGTTCGGTTTCGAATACGACAGTTCAACGTGCGATTCGGGTGTTGTGAATAAAAATGAAAAGAAATCGGTCGACAACTGTGTTATCGTAAGGTTCTGAATCGACCCCCAGGGTTGTTGCTGATGCAGGTTTGTTACACGTCAGCGGATGCCGATTTTTTTTATGCTGTTTTTATGTATTTATAAAAATCTCACGAAAAATGTACATCCTTTCTGAATGAATCTGTATGTGCATGAAAAAGCTTTCTATTTTCTTTGGTATTGTAATACAATATTATTTAAATAACTTTGTGACATTTAACTAAAGAATCAATCTGCATACAAACAATCAACCTGTCTGGCTCAATCGTTGTGGAATTTTATCAATTTTATATTTTATCAACAACAGTTGAGCTGCTTTTTCGGTTTATAGTCTGTTTCTGGAAGGTTTGTAAATTATTCCAGACTGTCTTTTAACTGTAACTTTTTTGTAACTTTTGTAACGACTCGAACATCCGCAATTAATATCAGCATCGATGAATGCGGATGCGGATGCTGATAATCGCAACAACCCTGATTCGAACAATCTTGATGTGCTGTTCTCTGTACAACAAAATTTAGGTTTCTATAGTACAATCTAAGGAACAGAACAAAAACTACCCACCTCTTAGAAAAATGTATTTGTATTTCTTAGATTTTGTGCATTTAGAGCTTGCCATAATGTTACTTACTATATAGTAATAAGTTTCTCATTTAAGTGAATGTCCAATTCTTTTGAGAAAATTCTTAAACCACAAGTTTAGTCATACTTATGAAAGTATAATCAGCACTAAAAAATCTAAGCTAAAAATAATATTATTTTATATACTTATCTATTGTCTTTTTTGTATGACGATGTGATATTAATAATATTATTTCGTGTAACGCCTACCAGAGTAACGGTACCGCTCAAAGTTAAAAATAAGAAGTGGTTTATAACTGCATAATTTCAAACTAATGTGGTTTTTGTACGCAAACATCCATTATCAGGGTCCATCCATTAGGGTCAGATTATGGGCCCCATACATTGACTTACAATTATATGGTGGTCGGGTCCGCGCAAAAAAGTGTCCGAACTTATAGGGCGTTAAAATCGTATACAGAGCGTCATTCACGCTCTAGTCTTCGTTTGTTCGACTGACAGCGAAGCAAGCAAAATTAGACAGTACTGCGATGACATTACAATTTAAATTCAACGTTTTAGCTTTTTCATATTCCTTTACATGTCAGTACGCTTAAATAGGTTGACTTGGGACATTTTTTTTGTGGTTTTTGTATTAGACCCGTCGTCCATTTATTTGTAAGTCAATGGCCCCATATCTTTATTCAGTTTCGTGTACACTCATACAAAAATATAACTACACCTTTTGTTTTATCCAAGATCGCAGATACCCTGAGCAAATGTCATAGAGTAGTAAGTCATTGTCGCATTCCTCAAAGTACAAAGCTAATGAATCACACATGTACTAGCGGCGTCATAAATTGGGAGGATGTAGCCACTTGTCTGTATTCTTACAGCTAAGAATGGACTCTATCACAGCGCCCCTGGAGATCAATTTTATGTGGCAAACAACTGCGTGATATTTAGTGTTTTTACATACTTAGAGTTGCTCGTGTAGATTACATATACACACACACTGGCACATTTAGCGGAGCAAAAAAGTGGTGATATAAAATGGTAACGTTTATATTTAAATAAATAAGAATTATACATAAAGTAGCAATTAAATTAGCCTTACTAAACGTTTATTGAAAAAAAAATCTAAATTAAACAAAATTGAATTTATTTAGATTTGTGCTGCTGAAACAGCTGAAAATTAAAAAAAACTTTTGCAATTAAAATGTACGAAGTTTACAAGAACATAGAATTAGCCTCTTGGCCTGCGGCGCGTGATCGGGTTCTAATTACGGCGTGTGGGCTCTTCGGTGGCACAGCAGTTAGTACTATGGGTGCTTGATGAGGTTCCGGCTTCGATTCCCGATTTGGGCCGGTTTATGAAACAAACATTTTTAAGTTAGTTTTGGTTTGGGTATTGCCCTAAGAGTTATCGTCATTGTTGTACTCATAGTATAATACACTAGTATGAGACCAGAAAATTTGTGTTATTTTCTAGCATTATTATTTTTTTCCCTAAAATATTATGTAATGTAAGGGTCGTATTCTACAACTCTACTCAATGCTCAAGTCAGGATTTGAGTATGGTTTAAAGCACTCGAAATCATACTCAAGTTCCTGCCATTAGGGTTGTATTTCCAGTGCTCGTGTTTCAATTGCAATCCTGACTTGAGCATTGAGTAGAGTTCTGGAATACGACCCTAAGATTGTTTTGATTAATGTAATGGTTCTAGACTCTACATAAGAGTCTATTGTGTGATCGGTAATTCAAGTTATGACAACCTCGGTGGCCTAACGGTTTACATTGTGGGCGCTAGATACGGAGGTCCCGGGTTCGATTCCTGGTAGGACCAATTTGGGGAATGAACTTTTCTAAATTGGTTCTGCTCTGGGTTGTCTGGGAAGTGCTTCAAAGTGAATTCCGCTGCTCTGGTACTCATAGTACAGGGAATTCCTAAACCAGAGCCCTAAAGTCTGCTAATTGAAAATCATTTCCATTGTGTGAACCATCGACCTGATATTAATGGTGAGTCCATGACGTAGTGCAAGAGTAAAATTTAATTGCTATGATAGTTTTAGTAAGGCAACATAGATCATTAGTGATTCAATGAATGAATGCCATCACTGCCATTGCCATTTTACTGACATTCTACAGAGACTCAACGGCCATTGCAAGTAGATTTTAGTAGTAAAACAAATCGCATAGCCAGTGAAACAGTGACTTAACTTACATTCGTAAAATGAATTAAAAGTTTTGTATTTAGGGCTACTGAGCACATTTGAAGAGCTCTTAAATGTTATACTATTTCTACAGAAAAATTAAAGAACCGAACCGATTATAATGGTTCTTTTGTTGGAAAGAGGGTATCCCAGAATTGGAAGAAAATATTCCAAAAAAAACTAACCAAGTCAAATTAGGACATGAAATTGGTTTCGCGCACTTTCCGGTAACCGATTTCAATAAAACTTGGCAAGTAGATATAATTCCACGAACTTTTGAGGTCGGTTAATTTTATAAAATAGTCCCTATAAATTGCATTTATAAAACCGGTTTAGGATCACAATTTTTTGCAGTTAAGTCTGTGTTTTACTGGAAGTGCGAAATATTACCATAATTGCGATGTGATCGTATTGGAATCTCAATGGCAATGACCAGCGGTTTCAGGAAAATTAGCAGACTTGGGCTCCAGGAAATTCGCGGCGGTCTGGCACATTATTATTATTACATTATTCTGTTTTTCTAATGTTTTATTATTATTATTAACCACAACTCCCCCGAAACATCAAAAAACTTTGCAGTTGAGTGCGTGGAAAGCGCAGCAGCATGGTTCGCGACACGCCTGCGCAAGTCGATGCAAGGCCTCGGCACCGACGATCGCACACTCATACGCATCATCGTCAGCAGATCTGAGATCGACCTGGGCGCCATCAAGAGGGAATACGAACGCCTATATGATAAGACTTTAGAAAGCGAAATACGGGTATGTACTTCTTTATGTATATATGTTTTACAGTCGAATGCGTGGAGAACGCCGCGGCGTGGTTCGCCCAGCGTATACGCGCGGCTATGGAAGGGGCAGGCACTGAAGATAAAACGTTGATCCGGATTATAGTAAGCCGAGCAGAGATTGATTTGGGCAGTATCAAGCAGGAGTATGAGAGAATTTATGATAAAACGCTTGAAAGCGATTTAAAGGTACGTAATGGACTTTTTAAGAGTTTGGTTTGTTGGTTGTGTACTTGTTATTCAAAGGTATTTAAAATTAATAAATTGAAGATATATAAAATTAATGAAGTGATTAATAGAGTCAAGAGTGATGTATTAAAATTGATAAATATAGCAATAAATGATATGTTTCGACTGAAAGATTTGAATCCAAGGTCATAAAATTGCTATTATATCATTATACTACGTTTACATCATTATGACGTTATTAAAATTAAAACAATCGTTATACAATTTATTTCAAACACTCGCACTTAAAAACCTTAAAATAATAATAATAATAATAATAATAACGTTTATTGAAAAACATGTTGTTACATAATAGTTCTTATAGTAGTTTACAGTATCAAACATGTACCCTGTAAGGGCGTAGCAATGTCAATTTTTTAAGTATACATTTTGATTACCATTAACTAAAATATCATTATAATGATAATTAAATCTAAACAAATATTTTCTGAAAAGTCAATGAATTAATTGGAAAATGAATGTCAAATTGAAGTCTAAAGTATTTCAAAAAAATTTATCGTCAAATTATTCTAGAACTATATAATAATAGTCATAACATTTGTCATTTTATTAAATTACATAATTATGTCATATTTTTTATAAATATAGTTAACATATCAAAATTCCTTTTTTATGACGTTATGAACAATTTTCCTTGTTATTAAAAAAATCTTGCAATGAATAGTAGCATTTTTGAGACAGATGTTTACTAAGTTGATTTTTAAACATTTTTACGCTATTTATCAGTTTGAAACATTAAACGGATCTTTTTGTAAAAAAATAACATACTATCTTGTTATTTGTGACGGATAATATCATATTATCGTGTCATTTGTCACAAAAAAAACTAAGTAATTTTATTGTCTGAATAAAAAAGGTGTGTGATCACTGTTTCTAGGCTCACGTTTTGTTAATTAAAATAAGTGAAGCTAATGAGCAATTATTTTCACATCAATTAGTACATAAATGTTGTAATCAACTTCCTGGCGTAGATTTATTTAATTGCCTTTAACGAAAATTTATGAAGTACATCCAACCAACATCCCAAACCAGCTTTGGTCTCGGTCGCACAGCATTTACATACCTTTATAATTGAAGCACATTGTAACTTAATACAACTTACCCACACGGGGATATGCTTACAATCATGTATCATTATTATATACATAATTATCTTTTATACTTACATACAAAATTATAAACTATAGCTATTTTATAATGAATCTATCGCATGAGAAGCTTTTAATGCTTTCAATGTCTTAGATCGAGTCTATAATGAGTTGTAATGTGTTTTAAATATTTTTTCAACATTCTAATCGCAACTGATGGTGATCGGACAGGAGGTGAGGTTATAAATATAATTAGTTTTAAGTATTCTTCATTTTTTATTATTATGATATTATTTATTCAATGTTTTATAAAAGATCAAAAAATTATTCCTTGACTAAATAAATACACACATCTAAAGGATATAAATATATCACGGAGAATGTGCGATGGAATACACGATTTAATTCCGCCTTCCCCGTTCCGTCACCGAGGGACTAGGCGTAGGCTTGGGTTCCACCCCCATGTTGTGGATATTCCAAACTCACACAAAGCTTTACGCTTCCACATTTAAATGGCGAACGGCTATGAAGTGGAATTCCCTGCCTGCAGACTTGTTCTCTTAACGTTATAACTTGGGCCTTTTCAAGGCGAGAGTGAATAGGCATTATTTAGGTGTGCATCCTCCATCGCTGACCTCATCGTCACTTTCCATCTGAGGTCACTTACATTAAGTGCGCACTTACATTATATAAAAAAAACTTCGCACAAAATACTAATCATGATGCGTTTCTCTTTCCGCACGCTGCCGCATGCTGATTCGACACAACGCCATCTATCGATCGAAATTGGACAACCCTCCGCCGTAATTGATACTAACATACGACCACCTCATATATTGGACGAAACTTCAATCACTGCCTGCCATCTATCGGTGAAATTATTGCAACTTGAATGTTGATAATTTTTTACCAAAATCTTGAAATTTCTGCTATGAAACTACTGAATGTTATCCACCTTTATTGTTTTACATGTAAAACGCCACCTTTTGGCGAAAATGTGAGCTTTAAACAATTTTATTGTGTAATTTTAAAAAATTTTAAAACTTTTTTACGCGACTCGGCAGCAGAATGAAACTTCTGGTGACTACAAACGAGCCTTGGTAGCGCTTTTGGGACCAGCTTAAGAGCCCCAAAGAAGTTTTTAAACGAGATTCGTGGTACCAGTGAACTAAGAAATATTAAGCATACATTTTGTATTTATCTTTGAAATTATAATTTTTATAAGCACCATTTTTTAGCCAATTGATGCTATGAAAGTCGGCAACGGTTTGTTAATTTATTTTTAAAACCTCGAATAATAACAATAAAGTACACTAGAATTGAAATAATTGTGTAGATATAAGCTTATTGTGGTTGTACCAACGCATCGGGTTTAGTATTAACGAAACTAGAGTATTTATTATGGATCTGTCAAAATGTATTTATTTGAAATTGTATTGTTAGAACTTGACGAAAGTAGTGCCTTACAAAAGTTGGTTTTCTGAAAAATGTATTTAAAGTTGCATATGAAGAATATTTACAATGTTTATTTGGCTAAAGATTTTATTGTATTTGCATTCCAATTTACCCTTTTTGTATTCCCTTAGCTTTAATTATACCTTTTTTAATTTTATTGGAATAATAAATGTTATGTACTGTGTCATTTGTTTTTTAGTGTGCCTTATTCCAGATTCCCTATTATCAAGATTTAAATTTTTACTAGCAAGGTAAAGTCAGGAATTTAGTGGGGTCCTAGAGATGTACGACGCTCTGCCGCCGCCGAGGAATTTAACCGGCGTAAAATAATCGTGGCAATAATCTCCGTACAGAGTACTAAAGAAACCGACATCAAATGTCATTCATTACCTAGTTTGCCACCCGTAGAGGTAAATTTAAATGGGACCACTACTTTGGTAGCCTATGTCCAACAAAAAAATAATCATGAAAATCGGTTCACAAATATGATACGCGTAACATACATACAAAAAAAGTCGAATTGAGAGTTGTTTGAAGTATAAGCGTCTTTGTTAATTATTTACTAAAATTCAATACAATAATTTGGTACATTTAAAATGAGCTACGTTCCTGACAAAAATGTTTATTCATATGAATCAATGGCCAGATTATATCAGAATGTTTAATTTGAAAAAGTATGCCCGATCGGCTCACATTACTAATCGTAAATAGTAAAAAAAATTGAGGATTGCCTTAGCTACTGAAGTTATTCCTCTAGCTAGAGATATTTGTCTAAATATTTGGGATACAGGAAATTTCACTATAGTCCATTTGTTTAGGTACTTAACTAAATGTAAACAATCTTGA